ATGATCAAGAGCCCACACTTGGAAGTCAGACCGCTGGCATTCAAGTCTGACTCCTAGGGCTGTGTAACTTTAGGCAAACCACATACCGTCTTTAAGCCTCTCTGTCCTCATACCCTAGGGCTATGAGGGTTAGATGAGTTAGTTCATGTTAAGCAGTATAGTATGTATTTACTTTCCTCTTAGGGCTGGATAATGTTAGTTGTTATTAAAAATACAGAGTCCTAGATATACAACCCTAATTCTTTGCATTTTATAGTGTTTTACAATCTCAAAAGAATTTTTAATGTTTCATCTCATTGGTCATCATAAAAATTCTGTGAGGTAGAAATGTAAGTAGGTATTCTTCATTAAAAAATTAACAGTTATATGTAAAGTCCAACAATGTTTTGATTATTCCAAGTCAATTGGCTAATAAATGATAGAGCTAGAATTGATCTCAGATCTTCTGATTCCAATTATGTGGGGTGTGTGTTCCTCCATCCTTATACCAATGACACCCTAGCTTGACATATTTTCCCTTTTATTTTTATATATTATAAAAAAGGTAGTACTTATTCACCTTATAAAAATAAGGTAATGCATATTAACAACAAAAAGGTGAAATCCCACAAATTCTTACCCTATCCACAAGATTTACTGTTAATATTTTGGCATATAATTTGTCCTAGAATATTTTTTCTTTTGGTGGTTCTGAACTTGGGGCTCTTAATTATACAATAGTTTTTGATATTCATATGTTCTGGTGATGTTGAATCTGAGAATATCGACAGCTTCAAGTAGAAAACTAGAGCTCTTTTTGTGTTTTCAAAGTGCTGTTTAAATAGATGAGTTCACACTACCTGTCATAAGTGGATGGCGGTAAGTAGCAGGAAAAGAAGTCAGGCTCTTTGTTTTTTCTTTTTTCTCTCCCTGTCATAGATTGAATCAGGGAGAAGGGTGACTTCTCACAGATCCCCAGAAAACTGGAAGCCAAAGGCTCAACCCCGTATGAGAATATTTTCAGATTAGGTTCATTTGTAATAGTCAATGCCATATTAAAATTTGATAAAGGAAAAGAATGTCAATAGACTTGCAGGTAAATCTGTGGTTTCATGAACTTCTCAAATACTTTTTAATTACTTTTCTTTTAATGAATTAGGAGGCAGAAAACCGGGCTCTGATTCTTAAGATTCGGAATCTTCAAGAAGAGGTATGTTGAAATCATTAAAACATGGGTACAGATTAAATATATGGAAATCATGGGTCCTGACCCTGGGTTAAATAATAATCATATGAATGTTCAGGCTCTTGCGGGCCAAAGACCAGGTGTCTTTGTCAAATGACAAATGAAGAAAAGTGGATAGAATTTTCACATCTGGACAGAAGTACATTACTGCCTTTGTACTTATCAGTGAAAGAAATGGAATTTTAAAAATTCAAATTTAAGATGAAATATAATTAACCCATCTAAAAACTATACAAATCAAGAAGGAAAGTGCAGACATTACCTAATAATTTTCCATTAATATTCCACTGAACTAGATGGCAAAGTCTTGAGTCTAAGACAAGACCTGAAATTTGGTGACAGTCTAACCTTGGAAAAGCCATTTATATTTTTTGAGTTAATAATACCTATTCTCTCAGTTATGTTAGAGATTAAAATAATGCTTGTGAAGCCATTTGGTTAACTATAATGTACTCCATATATGTTAGGAAATATTAGTAAAGTCTCTAAAAAATGAATAATTCTAATACTTTTTTAAGCAATAGAAATAGAGCATTGAAAGAATAGATAACAAAGCTACTAGTAAGGTAATATTTTGCAGGGAAATTTTGAATGTCAAGTATTATGCACAGTTTTTTATTTGGGCTTTATATAAGTTAATCAGAGGTATTTATTAAGCTGCGATGAATAATCTGAAGAGTTATCCAGAATATGGGCAAGGTAGACGTTAAAAATATTTTGTGGTGAGTTGGAAAGGAACAATTAAATATTGGAAAGAAACAATGAAATATTGGAAAGAAACCGTACATTAGATGTTACAGTTACAAGGCCAGTTTTCATGAAACTAGTGCTTAACAATTAAACTCCCAATGTAAGATTTTTTTTCCTCATATTTAAGATTATTGACTAGCCTCAAAAGTAGTTTGTACCAAACTAATTTTATCATGAGATAGCATTGCAATTATTGATTTACATTAGAGAAGGCATATCAATGTCACTAGCTAAGATTCTTTTAGGAGATAAAAATCCGATGGATTGTGACAGATAACAGCACAATGATTTGGAGAGTTATTCACTTTTATTCATTCACTTATTTATTTAACACATATTCTTTGGGAGACCTCTGTGCTAGGCACTATTCTAGATGCTGAGGAAATAGGCTTAAGTAGAATAGCCCATGTAGAACTAGCAAGTTCAATGGCGATTAGTGCTGTGGAGAAAAAAGCAGAAAACAGAATTGTGGAGGAGAGCAATTTAAAATAGAGTGGTTAGCAAAAAAGTAGCACTATGAAATTAATCATTTGGTTAAAAATTGGATAGGAGGTTTATCTGTGGAAGAGCATTCCAGACAGAGGAAATGGCAAGCTCAAAGGCCTCAGGCTATAGCCTACCTGCTATTTTTGAGTGACATTAGGCCAGTGTGGTTGGAACAGAGGGAGGAACTAGGAGCAAGAGGTTTGGCAGAGAGCTGAAGGGAGCCAGATCTACAGGGTCTTATGTAATTAGCAATGTATGAACTCTGGCTATTTACACTGAGATGAGAGCTCCTGGATAATTTTGATCAGGGGAGTAACATGTTCTAATTTCTGTTTTTTAAAATGGCTTCTGGGTTTATTTATTTATTTTTGTTTTTTATTTTTTTAACGCTTACAACACCCGGTATTCCAAGGTGGTCTCCCATCCAAGTACTAACCAGGCCCGAACCTGCTTAGCTTCCAAGATCAGATGAGATCAGGCGCGTTCTGGGTAGCATAGCCATAGACTTGCTGCTGGGTTTAGAATCAACTGTAGTGGGGCAAGAGAAGCAGGGAGCCCAATTAGGAGACTCTTGTAATAATCTAGACAAAAGCTGGGAGGCTTAGACTGAAGCAGTAAGAGGTGGAGAGAAGTGTGCAGATAAGCAAATGCTTTAAAATATATCTCAAGGTATTTGTTATATGTTCAGGTAATATGGAAGTTCTCTTCTGATTGTTTCTAATGTCTCAGTGAAATACAAAGCAAAGTCATTAGCTGAGAGTGGGGATGTTGTAGGAGGTATTGGAAGTTCAAGGAGAGAGCAGAGATGACATAAGCCAGGAGCTGGCAAACTTTTTGAAAAGAAACTGATAATAAATATTTTTAGTCTTGCTTGGCTAAACAGCCTTTGTTGCAACCACTCACTTCTGCAGCCAGAGACAATATGAAAACAAATGGGCATGACTTTGTTCTAATAACTTTATTTACAAAACCAAGTGGTCAACTGGAGTTGGCTGTGCAGGTGAGGTGGGGAGGTTGGTGTAGTTTGCAAATCCCTGATTTAGGCAAATGGCCAAACAAAGGGACTAGGATTATATGATATCACAGGTAAACACTGAAGTTAAAGGTTATGAATTTAACATGTGAGCTGTTGGTTCAGTATGTATTTTTCTTTAACGTTTCTCTGAAAGGATACTGGCTTAGAGTGGTGGCAAGCTTAAATTAAGCAAATATAAGAAGTAGGGGAGAGGCAAGGAAATTGAGAGTATGTGGAAGAAAGTGACTATAATGAATGACCATGGGAAAATTTAAGCTGAGTAAAGAAGGGACTGAATTCACTGCAAGGTGTGAGGGTAATGAGAAAGTATTTAGATTGATGGATTGCAGGCTTCAGTGGGGACTGAAGGTTTGTTGTTGCTCAGAGAAGTAATCTGGACAAACAAGAAGTGGTGGCTGAAGAATGAAATGCTTGCAATTAAGATATTGGAGGGATTACAGTTGCTCATAATGGCATGTGTGAAGGTATGTCTAGGGAGTGAACGACTGAGGTGGAGTAGAAGATAAAAAGGTACTACTGAGAGTGTTCTTGGATGGTCATGTTAAAAGAATCATGATTTTTTAGACAAAGTCTAAAGTTTCATCCCTTAGTTTAAAATAGATTATGATATTAATGATGAAAATGCTATTTCTTAAAAAAGACTTTATGATATCCTTTTATTTTTTGCTCTAAATCTAAGAATACTACCTTCTTTTGCTTTAGAATACTAAGAACATTATGGATATATATAAATTGGAAAAGAAGATTGAGGAATTGTCTAAAACTGAGACAGAGCACCAAGTAAGCACTTCCCAAATACTGGTAAAATATTTTCTTCCATCAACCCAATATTACTCTATAAAGGTGTATATGACTCATTGATACAATAACCTTTGGCTACAAATTTTTTAATTCATACTCCTTAAGATGTCTGAATTATAGAAAAGGCAATTTCTCTTTTTTTTAGTGTAACAGCTTACTGATATATAATACACATGCAATTAAATTTACCCACTTAACATACAAGTCAATGTTTTTTTTTTTAATTTTATTATTAGTTTCAAGTATACATAATACATTGGTTAGACATTTATATAGTTTATAAATGATCCCCCTAATTGCTCTTTCTCTCCTCTGGCTCTACACCTAGCCATTACATTAATGCTGACTACAGTCCCTATGCCGTGCTCCCCATCCCTGTGACCACCTATCAACTACTGATTTGTACTTCTTTAACTCTTCACTTCTTTCTCCCAGCCCTCCAACTCCTCTCCCCTCTGGTCATCATCAGATTGTCCAAAAATATGGAATGATTCACAAATTTGCATGTCATCCTTGTGCAGGGGCCATGCTAATCTATGTAAAATTGTTCCATTTTTAGTATATGTGCTGCCGAAGCGAGCACACAAGTCAGTGTTTTTTAATATATTCACAGAGTTGTGCAGCCATCACCAAAATCAATTTTAAAACATTTTTGTCATCTCAAAAGAAACCTTTTTAGTAATCACTCCCCATTTCCCTCCAACCCTAGACAACCACTAATCTACTTTCTGTCCCTATAGATATACCTATTCTGGATATTTCATGTAAGTGGAATCATATACATTACATTTTTTTGTCATTGGCTTCTTTCACTGAACATAATGTTTTCAAGGTTTATATATGTTGTAGTATATATCAATACTTCATTTCCTTTTATTGCTGTCATATTCCATTGTATAGATGTATCACATTTTGTTCATTCATCAGTTGATGGACACTTGAGCTGTTTCCACTTTTTGCCTGTTATGAATAATACTGCTGTGAACATCCATGTACAAGTTTATATGTGTACAAATGTTTTAATTTTTCTTGAGTGTAAACCTAGAAGTGGAATTACTAGGTCACATGATAACTGCATGTTTAATCTTTCAAGGTACTGCCAGACTGTTTTCCAAAGTGGCTGTACCATTTTACATTTCTACCAGCTGTGTATGAGGGTTAGAATTCTCCACATCCTTGCCAACACTTGTTATTATTTATACTTTTTATTATAGTGGCAATTTTTAATTTAATAATGTCTGATTTTGTAACTTCCTAAATCAAGAAAGATTTCAGCTACTGTACCTTCTTAACATGGAAAATGAAGCAAAATGGGCAAAAAAAAAATTTTCCTTGATTGAATTAAGAGATACCTTATAGAAATGGTTTTTATCAATATGGCATCTAAAAAGTCTATATTTAGTATATAATTTTGGTCTTTTTGCCATACATTCATATTATGAAACAGAAGACAACTATTAATAAATTCAGGAATTTGTGTCATGCTTATTGTCATCTCTAATGGTTTATTTGAGCAATATATTTTGTTGTAGTATATGTTTGAAATGATGACGTACTCAAATTTCATGTCTATATATGGAATTTTCAAGTTTCCTAGCAGATATTCAAATTGCACGTGTGTATACATATATCACATGTTATAGCAGTTATGATTTAGACATTAAAATTAATTTTGTTCTAGGAAGGACTGTCTTTGGAAAACATAACTGTCATAGCTAGTGGAAAGAGTTAGAAGACACGGGTTCAAATCCCGTCTTCTCTACTTAAAAGCTATAACCTGGAGCAAGTAGTTAACTTCTTTAAGTCTCAATTTAATCATCTACTAAATTGATATGATATTTTTTACATAATCCTCAAGCTTGTCGAAAATTTAAATGAGATCATTTTATGAAAATACCTTTAGAACCATAAAGGGATATCAAATATATGTGATTATGATGATGATTCTATTTCCAACTATGCTGATTATTTTTCCAGGTTTTCAATCCAATTAGCATAAATGTTTATCAGTTTTTTAGAAGTTTGTGCCAACAAGCTTGCTTTGGTTTTGAATAAACTGATATGTCTTTAATATTCACCTTGCTAAAAAAATTTTTGTACATTTTTAAACTTAAGTTTTTAAAAGAGGAAGAGTCTTCTATATGTTCACATGGAGTCTGCATTCATATCTATATTTTCATCTTCACCAGGTAAAAAAGACTATATGTCTTCTTATTACCAAGCGTGAAATGGAAGAAAGGGCAGTTGGCTGGAGCCTCATATTCTAGGCTCAATTCTGTCACTAACTGTGTGACATTGGGCTTGGATTTCCTCACTGGTAAAGCAAGGGCAGTGATCCCCAGCCTCTAAGATTGTTGTGAGGCTGATGTGAAAGTTTTTAAAAAGTAAAAATCACGTGAACATCAAAGGTGCTTCCGAAACATGTATCCCTATTGGAATGATTATGTGGCACTGTCCTTTACAAAAGCAATGACCCAGTGGTTTCCCCTAAATTTGTTTCTTTTCAGATGCAGTTACACATATATGAGAATACTTTGCTTAATAAAGATGCGAGTTTGCAGAAGGTTGGTTCTGTCCCTTCCCATGAAGTCCTGTGGGATTGGCTAGTTCCAAATCATAAAGGAGGTGGTCATTTGTGTAATTTCACCCTTATTAAAATATCTGATGTTAATATTCTGTTAAGAATAGTAGACTTTCCTTTATAATATTTCACAAAAATGTTCTTCTGAATGAAGAATACCGACTTCTCCCTCTGGGATAAGTTTTAACATATCCTCTCTAAATGTTGGTGATGTTCATTAATCTATGCAACAAATATTAGTGTGCCAGTTTATCAGTCACTGGTTAGATACTGGTGGTGCAGTTTTAATGCATAACAACACAAATGAGTGTGCAGTGATTCATTTTAGGGAAGAAGAAGAACATATCCCCAAATTATTTTCTGCCTAGATTGATTGATTGATTAGATAGATAAATAGATATCATTTTATTCATTCTTGTATCCTGCGATCATAGCCTATCTGATAACAAAGGATGCTGGCTAGAGATGCTGGCTATGGTGGCTTTAAGAGACACAGGAAGGGCACAGCCTAAGTTAACAAACTTCCACTTTTCAAGATAGGGAAGTGAAGAAAGAATGATATTTCTTTTCCTTTCCTTTTTCTTCCTGTTATGACATTTCAAGGGAATCGTGCATGGCTCGTAGACATTGACCCAGATACTAAATATTGTACCAACTTTATCTCTTCCATTTGACATTTACAGTTCTTCTTTGGCTCAGACTGATAGTCTAACAAATATGAATTGGCAAATTCATACATTTATTAGCTATTAATTTTCTCTTCTACTTTTTAGAAGGATTTAAGTATAGAAGAACTTAAATCAACCATCATAGAATATGGAAGCATTATAGAGGTATACCATAATAATCTCACAGCTTGTAAGGTGGGGTCGTTAAGTGTAAATTCCCCATTAAAGTAACATGTACAACCTAATGTGTGATTCCAGAATTTACGAGGGGATAAAAATAAACTGGTTCATGAGTTACAGCACTTGCAACAGGAACTCATCATGTAAGTACAGAGTAACCGTTTACCAGCCTTCTCTCATGTACCTCCACCCTGCATTATTGGCCTACTGAGCTATATGCAGTTCTCCAAATGTGCCACACTTTTTTCTTCTGTGCCTTTGTAAGGGACATTTTCTCTGCTTTTCTCCAAGAGAACTCCTTCGCAAGTTTTTCATGACTTTCCCTTGCTTTTCTCTTACCTTGAGATTAAAGTAATCCTTTTGCATGCATGCATGCATGTCATGCTATTCTTACCTCTTTCCTAACACACATCGTCTTACAACCATTTGTTTCTGAATATGTGTAGTATGCTAGTCCAAGGGTCCACAGGAGCCACTCAGATAACAAAGATGAGTGAAGACAATGGGGTAAGTGCACACACTTATTTTATGAGAATTGCAAATGAGAAAAGTGCATTACCCCAGTGAAGGCAGAGAGGCCTACTCTGCTTACCTCCAGATAATTGTTGTATCAAGAATATATGGACCCATATGGCCATGTTTTCTGATATTTTAAAGAAAAGCCAGAAATATAGATTTTTAGTGGAAGTTTCTAATTTTTTAACTATTGGCTCCAATTCCTTTAAAAAAAAAAAGTGTTACTTACATGTTTGCAGCCACCCAGGGTCACTAGTCTGTGCAGCTCCTAGAGGGCAGACACTTTCTCTTATTTCTCCATGTTCCTAAGTACCTCATACAATCCTTGGTGCACGTGCATGCTTATTGATGGGCGATAAACCCTGTTCTGGTGTCTTAAAACATAATGTTGGAGGCACATCTAATCAGACAGGTCTATTTTTATTGTTTTTTCAAGGAATGGGATCCACTTGAATGTTCATGGAGAGCGTAAGAGTATTATCTCTGAAGAAGAAAAATCTTTACATTGTGAACTCATTCTTGCTCAGTCTGCAGAGGTAGGTAATTATGATCAAATGGAAAGCTTTAAAAAATAATCACCATGTGCAATAACTTATTATTAAGTGAAAGTCCGTAACTTGCTGAAAAGCACTTGTGACAATTTGAGAGAAACTTTTGACAGTTTTTAGAATCGAAGTCTAAAGTCTCTTAGCCTGGAAGAACAGACCTTTTTCAAGTTATGCCTGAAAACTATAGTGAGGCTCAAGCATGGGCTGTGGAAATGTGCGTTCAGTGAAGCTGGACTTTAGGAATCTTTATATTCTTGATCTTTTTCAGGACAAACTATCTGCATGTTCCCCAGCCTGGGGTATTAACGGTAGCAGCAGTGATCCATGAACTATTTTTTTCAGTATTTATCCAATTTCCCCATAGTAAATGTATCTACCAAAATTAAAGATGCTCAGAAACAACATGAAATTTCTTTACTTTCGGATGTAATCGTACCAATCCAATTTAATGACAGTGGTTATTACATTCTGAACAGAAATTAGCATTTTTAATGTTTTTGCTTAATTTAAAAATGGCAAATGAATTGTTACTTTAAAAAGTCTCAATTTGTTAAGTTTATCCAATTCTTTATGACATTGGAGGAATCAATCAAAACCCTTCTTGGAGATGAAATGTTGGAACCCCCCAATACTATATTTCTGCTCCTTTATACTTTCCAGTTTTGTGCTCGTTTATGTTAGGAAATACTTTATTAGCAAATTGCTTTCTTTTCACCACTTCAGTGGTCTCTCCATGTCTGTGAATAATGGACACGTCAGAATGTCCTCCTGTTGACAGCTGTGATATGACCTTGAAAGAAGAGGAAAAATGTCTTTGGGGCAAACGCTGTTTGAATTTCTCCTGCCAAGGATGCAGGGGCAACATATGGTGCCTTCATCTGACACCGTCTCAGGCAGCCTTGGACATTCTGCTGAGGGCTGTGCTTTCCTGACATTCTGTTTCAAATACTCATCATTTTACTGTGTTTTTGAAACCAAGCCAAATTGCCAGACTGAATGAAATGGTGGCAAATCTGCCACGGCAGTGTGTTTTTATCCTTAGTCCTCGGAGATAATGATGATGTCAAGATGCCAGTCTTCAAAATTCTAT